ACAAGGACTAATGGCTCCGAAATTAAAACACAGACCTGCCCCATCTTCAGATCTCCGAGAGGGTGTGGGTCACTCTGGACCGGAAGGGCAGTTTCCCGGTCCAGGGCCAGGAGCAGGCCGGCCCCGGAGCCAGCTCCCGGACTTTCAGGAGGGGGAGCCGGTTCTGCCCGGGCACGGTGCCAGGGCCATTTCTGGGAACACTTTCCTTCCGGGTCCTCCCTTAGCGCTTCCTTTAATTATTAACACACCCGCAAACCTACAAGTCAGAGAAATGAAGCAGTAATTCGTCACCATCTCCGACCCAAAAAGAATGATCACAGCACGGAGGGCGGCAAACTGGCAGAATTCTGGGTCACGCTCAGCTCCAATTGCGTTCCACAGTTCAGCTGGCGGGGACGGGCTCCAGGCTCCTGGAGGGCAGGCTACTGCCACCTTGAACTTGCAGCCAGATTGCAGAAATAACTGCTGCCGCCTGCGGAGGCCCTAAGGCAGGGTGGGGTCCCTATGGATGTTTCTGGAATTCCCCCCGATTCTTATGCTGTGTGAGGAACTTAGTAACTTGCCCAAGGTCATCAGTGGCCTGTATAGTTTTCCTTCTTTCCATTGATGTCCTGTGTGGTGGTGCCGCCCGACCACATTGAGGCTCAGGAGGCCGTGGTCAGCCTTGACCTTGGCAAGTTACAGAGCCCACGTCTCAGTCCCCACAGACCTAAAGGCTCCTGATAAGAGCAGCACCTGCTGCACAGGCAACATACTTCCAGTATTGTGTGTGTGTGTGAGCATGTGAGTGTGTGAGCATGTGAGCGTGCATGTGTGTGAGCGTGTGTAAGCGAGCATGCATGTGTGAGCATGTGAGTGTGTGAGCATGTGAGCGTGCATGTGTGTGAGCGTGTGTGTGAGCATGCATGTGTGAGCAAGTGAGCATGTGTGAGTGTGCATGTGTGAGCATGCATGTGTGTGTGTGAGCGTGTGTGTGTGTGAGCGTGTGTGTGTGTGTGTGAGTGCCCGAGTGTCTGAGAAGACCCCGCTGGAACCATCGGGAGGCACGCGGTGATGACAGGCTGCCCGCCTCCCTCCTGACCCTCCCCCACCCCCAGCTGCTGCTTCCAGCACCGCCGGTGCCACGAGGAGGCGGCTGAGATGGACTGTATCCAGGACTCCACCAGGGTGAGCACAGATGTCAACTGCGCCAGCAAGAAGATCACGTGTGGTGAGCATCCCAGGTGCCCGGGGGCTGGCGGGGAGGGGACCATGGAGAGGCCCGTCTGGACCAGGCCACGGGCTCATGGCCTCTCCCTTGCACAGCAGAGGTGCAGTGCGTGCTTTCTGAGTTGACACAAGTTACTCAGCAGGTTATTGGATTTGCAATTTTCATGTGTTGCAACTCAGGGACCTTGGGAGGGGCAGGCTGCTGCCCGAGCCTCAGGGGGGCGATGACTGCCTCCTCTGAACGGCAAAGGGGGGGCAGGGGGAGACTCTGCCTCGGAGAGTTATGGGAATGAACGCTCCCAGAGCAGTTAGCTGGTGCCTGGTGGACGGGAAGGACGCAGTGGTGGGCGTGGAGGGAGGGACTCCTGGGTGGAGAGGCCGTGGTGGGTGCTGTAAGCACCAGCTGCCCACCCTGCTCGCTGGGGCACCCGGGCACTTTATTTCAGTCTCTGGGCGGCAGCAGCAGCACAGGGAAAGGCACACAGGGGGTGGGGGGGGGCGCAGAGGAGCAGGCGCGTTGGCAGTGCATCCTTGGGGGCCGCCCTTTTCCGATGCCTTCCGGGTGCCAAACGCTTTCGCTCACAGGCAGCCCCCATTTTTCTAAAGAACCCTGGCACAAGGGGGGCCCGCCACCCCCAGCTTCTTCAAAACCGGGAAAAAGGAAGCCCCGGAGACGGGAGAGGGGAGCGCGGAGAAAGGGACTAACTTGTGCAAAGTCCCATCAGTGCAAAGTGGCAGAGCCAGGGTTTGAGTCCAGTGGGGCCGGCTCCACAGTCCTGGTGACGGCGTGGACGAGCTGGAGTAGGAGCTTCCAGGACGTGAGAGAGGCACAGTGAACACTGAATGCACTCACTCACTCACTCATTCATTCACTCATCATTCACTCACTCACTCATTCATTCATTCACTCACTCATTCATTAATTCATTCACTCACTCATCATTCACTCACTCACTCATTCAATCACCATTCACTCATTCACTCATTCAACAGATAGGAGGTAAGCACCTACCCGAGTCTAAGACAAGTGTCTAGGCATTGGGGACACCCTGACATTCTGGAATTTTATCATGGTTGTCAGACTCAGCAAATACCAAAGACAAATGATACCGTCTATTAGACAGTGATGGGAGATGTCGGGGGTACGGAGTCAGGGAAAGGCACGGGAGGCGGGGTGGGGCCCCTGTTGAAGTAGGAAGGTCAAGAGAAGGTGACAGTTGAGCAGAGACGGGCGCGGCGCATCCGGGAGAGGAACCGTGTGGACGGGCGAACGGCCCCTGGACCCTGAGGCTCGGGGGGCCTGGTGCCTGAGGAACAGAGGCCAGTGAGTCAGGACCCGGGTGAGGGCAGAGAGGAGGTCTGAGAGGGAGCGGGATCCATGGCTTTGACTTTGAGGTGGGAGGTTCGGAACACAAGCATAGACGTGGTGTGATGGCGTGACCTGAGCTTTCAGAGAATTGTCCCGGCTCCTGGGAGAACAGACGCACAGCCGGGCAGAGGCAGGAGGGGAGTCAGCAGGCCACCCACGTAACCCAGGGGAGAGGCGAGGGGTGGCCCGGGAGAGCGAGGCGGAGATGGGGAGACGTGGCCGACTCTAAAGCGTTTCGTTGAAAGCAGAGCCCGTAGAGGGCCCGACGGGTGGGGGGTGAGTGAAGGAGGGAGCATGGCCCAGACGGGACCCTCACCGAGGAGGGGGGACACTTGCAGGGGGCGCGGGGTTTGGGCGGGCAGGTCGGGAGCTCAGCCTCGGCGTCTGCGTTGCCTCCTGGGATTCCAAGTGGCTTTGCCCTTGGTCTGTGCAGAGTCCAGGGACCCTTGCGAGCACCTGCTGTGCACCTGCGACAAGGCTGCCATCGAGTGCCTGGCCCAGGCCACCATCAACTCCTCCCTGAACCTGCTGGACCCCGCCTTCTGCCTGGCGCCATCTGCGGGTAGGAAGCACCTGACCCCTGGTCCGTGCTTGGCAGGCGGTGGGGGCAGGGGCTGGCGTGGGTGCCCGTCTTCAGGTGCCAAGTCCAGCACCTCCTCACATTCCACACAGACAGCCCGCAGGCAGGAGCTAACGGCCCTCCTGCCCAGAGGTCAGGCCTCCACGGGAGGCAGCTGCTCCTCGGACTTGAGGGGTCAGATATGTTCACCAAGGTTCCCACGCTCTCCCAGCCCCAACACCAGGGGTGCCTGGGGGTGGGAAGTTCAAGGTGCACCTCCAGAGCGTCCCCCATTTCCTGAGCTGGGGTCTCTCTCAGAAATAGTCCTGCAGGGCTTGTTTAAGAGGGAGCTGGTGTGGTGTGGGTGGTGGATTTCTGGTGCACACGTGTGATATGGTGTGTGCATGTGTGTGGGGTGTGAGTTGCATCTCCAGGTCTCCCGAGCCCAGCGGTCTTTGTCCTCTGCACCTGCCTCCCCTTAGAACAGAGGTTTTCTCGAATCAGGACACCACACTCCACAGCCAGTCCTTCGGCTCTGCAGCCCTTTCACTGTCACAGCCTGTGCTCGTGTCACCGTCTCCAGAACCCAGAGCCTCTGGAGTCCCTCTGAGCCGGGGCCTGGTTGGCACCTGCGTTCTGGGAGGTGGAGGAGGTGGGGGACCCTCAGGCAGAGGAGCAGCCCTTGCCCGGCAGCACCCGGCACAGCCCCTCCCTGGGCCCCGCAGTCCCCACCCAGCCCGTTCTGGGCCGAGCCCCTTGGGAGGTGGTGTGGACACTGCGTCCGTCACTCATGGCTGCTGGGGCTCTTTTTCAGTGGAACCTGTGGAGCCCACAGACGCCAGCCTGGTGGCCCTCTCAGGAGAAGGTGAGTCAGGGACAGGCGTGCGGCCCCAACGCCCACATTCCCATTGTAGTATTGGACTAGCTGCAATGACCTCCCCTCAGATGCAGGTGGGACAGCTGGTGAGGAAGTGTGGTCCCCATCATGCGATGAGGCGATGATGTGTTGGAGTCGGGCAGCTGTGGGGTCGAATCCTGCCTCCCCCGCTCTCAGCTGTGTGACTTTGGGAGCATGGTGCAACCCCTGCACCCTTGCACAAAGCAGGGCTCGGCAAACTTTTGGTGAAGAGCCAGACAGTAAATGTTTCAATACAGGATCTCTGCTACAGCGACTCAGCTCTGCCACTGTAGCAGGAAAGCAGCCGTAGACGATCCATCACTGCATGGCTGTGGCTGTGTGCCAATAAAACTTTATTTACAAAAATAGGTCAAGGGCCAGCCCCTAGTTTGCCAACCCCTGGAAAGGGATCACTATACCTGACTTCAGGGTGGCAGAGGATTACATGACGGAGAGCGTGGGAAGATTCTGGGCTGGCATCTTTTTCCAGAAATTCCAGTGGAACTTTAAAAATCAGCACCTACCATCAAGGCACATGCAGGACACTAGACAGCTTGCTGGGAATGTATAACCCCCTCAATGCTCACACAACGTTAGGAAGTAACTGCTGTAACCTTCATGTTGAGACGGTACATTGAGCTGGAGAAGGAAGCTGTCCAGGACACACAGCTGAGTGGTAGGGCTGGGATTCGGGGCCTCCGGTGGGTCTTCCCTTACTCCAGGAAGCAACTCCCTCTTAGGCTGCCTTCCCACAAAGACTTGGTCCATCAGGGCCAATGCTGGCTCTTTCTCTCATTTGCCGGTTTCTCTGAACACAGGACTGACTCCAATCTGGCCCCTCACCCACTGCATGGGAACAGTATTGAGCACCAATGAGTGAACAACTTGCTCCCTGATCAGATGGCCGTGGGCCTTCTCTCCTTATCGCTCAGCTCCCAAACCCGTTTTGTTTGCAGGTGATGCTGGCCTGGCCAAGGTGCTGGGCTGGACTGGTAACTGATCACTGACAGTCGGTTGATTTCTCTTCACAGTGTCTGCTGATACCAGAGCTGACCAGTTGACCACGCCCCCCAGGACGAGTCAGTTGACCCCTCGCTCCAGGACAAGTAAGTAGAGGGGCCTTCAGAGGACAGCATAGAATCCCGGAGAAATGCCACCTAAATAAATATTCGTGTTCAGAGCCCAGAGGAAATTACTATAACCCTTTGCAGACAATACAGGAAACAGGCTCTGGGGGTTAAAGTTCCAAGTCATCCAGCAAGTGACTTGTTCTGGTCTCTAACCCCCGACGTGAGGCTAAGACTTGTTTTCTTCCCATTACCTGACAGTGACTCGCGGAGAACAGCCCCTTACCTAAAATACTAAGCCAAGAAATACTAAGATGGAGAAAGCTGTCCCAACCCTTTACTTGGCTTGTGATTAATAACCATGGATACTTTATTACTAAGAAAAATCACTGATAATGACTATCTACTCGTTACTGAGAATGGTTAAAGGGCGGAGACATGGTTGAGGACCTCGATGTGGTAGCATGTGTCTACGCCCCTGCATACAACATTCTCTGAGTTATTCTCCCTGGTTCTGGGAGGCCCATTTTCACCCCCATTTTACAGGTAAAGGAAAAGCTCCAAGGGGTAGAGTCGTCTGCCCGGGGTACATGTGGATCCCTTTACCTCTGAATCCGTGCACTTTGCCTTTGAAGGGAACCACCTGCCCCAGCGCAGACGCCTCAGACTCTTGGCTGGAGCATCTGCGTCCCATCAGTGCACGTCTAAGCCTGATGGTCACATCACACCATCATAATCCTGATCTCGGACAGAGGTCCAGGCAGTTCCTTTCCAGAGCATTCTGGAAGGAGTGATTATCTCTGGTCTTTGTGGTTCAGCCAGCAGTGAAACTGCAGCCTAGCGAAGTGGCTCCCAGGGTCAATGCTAGCAGGTGACCTGGGTTTGCATTCTGCCACTTTCTAGCCCTATGACCTTGGGCAAGTGACCTCACTCTTCTGCAGGTCACCTTTCTCATCACGGAAGGAGGGAGGGCATTGCACTAACTCACGGGGTTGTTATGAAGTTAATCTGAGCAAAGCGCTTAGTGCTGTACCTGGTGTATAGTAAGCCTAGCCCGTTCAGCTGCTGGAACAAAACGCCAGAGACTGGTGAATTATAAACAACAGAGATGTATTTCTCATAGTTCTGGAAGCTGCAAGTCTGAGGTGGAGGCACCAGCAGATCCGGTGTCTGGTGAGGGCTTCTTCTGACACAGACACCAGCCGTCTTCCTGCTGTGCCCTCCCAGGGGGAAGGGAGCAGGAGCTCGCTGGGTCCCTTTACAGGGCTCTCATCCTATTCGAGAGGACCCCATCCTCATGACCTGCTGACACCACATTGGGACCTGGGGGAACTCGATCACTCGGTCTGCAGCGTAGTGCGAGCTTAACTACTGTTAAAGCAACAAACTCATTTCGCAGAGAAACAGGCTCAGCAGCCTTCCTGGGGCCACACAGCAAGCAAAGGGACTCAATTCTTCTGCCACATTTTTCTCTGTAAAAAAAAAGATTTCAACAGACTCACCTGCAGTTGAGTTTCCCAGCAAGCCTCTGTGTGAGGGGAGGGGGTGGTGAAGCTGGGTCTCTTTTTGGCTCAGCTGTTGTCCCAGGAGGTGGCCAGGGGCAGAGCAAAGACCACATGGCCCCCGGGGCTTGGGGGTGGGAGCTGCCTCAGAGCAGGTGGGGCAGCCTGGGGTTGACACTTACCTGTGTCTTTCTTTTGGGAGCAGAACCACTCCAAGACCAGGAAGGCACCGAAGCTGTGAGGACCACAACCCCTCCAGGTAAGCACGCAAAGCTGCTCCCGCCTTTGGCTAGTTGCTGCCCCTCTACACTCATTAGATCAGGTGTGTCCCAAAGAGCCCGGGAGAAAAGACCCCAAACTCAACGTGGAAGCGGTCAGGGAGCCAGTTTACTGGTAGAGCCCTGAGGAGTAGACAAATGAAACTAAGAGGCTGATCCATTCATAGAAAGAAATGGAAACTTACCTGCTAAGGAGATGCCTTGCAAAAAACAGAGAAAGCTCTATCTCGTTTTCCATTTATATCAGCTGCAACCTCACATTATAAAGGGAGCACTTTCAATATCTGAAGGTACTTTCTTCCAGTCTCCCCAAGTGTATCCATGACGATGCCCAGGCCTCACCCAGTGCCTGGCACTGAGCTGGGCAGCAGACGGTGGGGCCCAGCCACTGGTGCTCCTTGGTCTAGACCAGACTGGGCTGGAGGCGTGGCCTGTGGGATGGAGACCCGGCTGCCTCCAGCTGAGAGGGCAGGTGGGGCTGCCTGACCCTGAGAGACAGGGGACCCAGACGGTGCCAGGGAGCCCATGTGAGGGGGAGCCCGTGTGAGGGAGCAGGGTCTTGCTGGCCGCGGTGCAGATTCACACTTAATTCTGAGTATGGCCAGAAGCTGTTGCCGTGTTCTAAGGGTCGGAACAGTGTTGCTTGCCTACATGATTGTGGCCCATGCGTTGGGCTAATTTCCCCACCATTCTTGTCCCTTCACTTGTTGACACTGTGATGGGACTTCACTTGGCTGGCGCATGAGTGTGGACACGACACAAAGGTAGGCCTGAGGGGGATGGTTCTCAGCCACCAGATGTCATCCAGAGGGTCTAGCCAGGCCCGTCAGTTTCACAGTTATCATAGGAAACTGGGGACTCACGCAGCATTCCGGGATCCCCGAGACGCAGCTCTGACGTCTGCAAGCTCAGTCTGGTGGTTCATTCCCAAATATCTGTTTGCCTTTGGCCTTGACCTGGTGCCCATCTGCAAATCCCTTCTCGGACCCTCTTGGATGTGGACTGTGAAGTTGTGCGTTTTCAGGATCCGCAGAGATTGCTGCCACAGCTGGAGGTGTGACCGTGGTTCCCGCCGGCATGAAATCTCTGGGGCTGGCCGTGCCATCCGTCGAAAGCGGTCCTGAGGGGACGACTGGGCCAGGTGAGCAGCAGGCAGACAGGAGCTGCCCTCCCGGCCTGAGAGCCTCTGGCCAGGCGGTTAACAAGGCCACTGTGTCACACTGACCTTGGCATGTGGCTGTGACGGGAGGTGCCGCACGTCCCCTGGCAGATGAGCCTGGGAGAGGGGCACTGGCCGGCAGGCACCAGGGCTGGGGGCAGGGCCCGGAAATGGCAGGCCTTGGGCCAGCGCTCACCAGCGCCATCCATGCCGGTTTCCTGGAAAGAACGAAATACTTGGGTCTCGGTAGTCCTCCGCCTGGGCTCTCCTCCCTCAGGTGCAGCCGCAGGCCCTGCACCCGCACGAGCCGCAGGCAGCGGGACCCAGAGGAGGCGCTGGCACTGCCTTCCAGTGCGCCATGCAGGGCTGTGCAAGCAGCTGCATGGGGGGGAAAAGGGGGTGGGCTTTCTTAGTCCTTCCCACCCAGACTATGAAGGTGGGGTTTTGCCCAGTACAGGAGGAGGGGGAGCAGGATGGGTGGAGAGAGAAAAGCAGAAATAGACAGAAAACCAAGGTCTGAAAGACAAGCCCCATAGGTGTGCTGACCTGCGAAGCCAGGCAGCCTCAGGGGACAGCCAGGAGCCCCGCTCAGTAGTAAATTCGGCCCTAAGAGCATCTTCGGCCCTGATGAGCCCCTGTGCTGAGGGGCAGGGGGGGTAGCGAGGAACCTGGGCGAGCAGAGCCCGGTGAGGAAGACTGCTCCCTGAAAGACGACCATCCAGACAGGGCCTGGGCACAGGACAGCCTCCAGGAGTGGGGAGGGGGCGGAGGACGCAGGCTCCTGGCACGACTGGCCACGTGGAGCCCTCCTGGGAACGCCGCGCTGGCACTCCTGGCTGCCCGAGTCCTCTCTCCCCAGCCTGTGCCAGGTCCACCTTCCTGCGCCTGGGAGCCGGGGAGGACACACAGGTGATGCCGCAGCTGGGGCAGATGCTCTTCTGCCTGACAGCCCGGTGCCCCGAGGAGTTTGAATCTTACGGCTGCTACTGTGGGCAAGAAGGGCGAGGCGAACCCAGGGACGCCCTGGACAGGTAGGTGCGCGAGGGTGGCAGGCGATGGCGCCGATGCTGCCTGCAGGGAGAGGTGAGAGCCCTCCTCCACCTGGGCCGTCACTCGAGGTCCACAAAGAGCTGGCTGCCTGCCTTACCTCACTCGGGTGGCTCCTGACATCACGGGCCATTTTCCGGGTGAGCAGCTGAGGCTCGGCCTCATCTGAGGTCATTCACCCACGAAGGGGCAGAGCCTGACAGACCAGCCCCTGGAGAGGGTCACTCTAAAGACAGAGTGATGAGCGACAGAGGGTGGGTCTCACTGATGTGCGTGACGAGGGCCACGCTGAAATCAGCTCCTCACCAAGGTTTACATTCTGGGCAATTGGAGTGACTTTCACTTTAGATGCCTGTGCAGTGCGCAACCTGAGCCGGCACGCGTGGAGCGCGTGGCGTGTAGGAGCCAGCCGTGCACACGGGAGGAGGCACTGGCTCTCACTGTGGAGGGGTGCGGGAGAAGCAGGCCCTGAGGGGCTCCCGGGGCAGCTGGGAGCTGGGCAGTAAAGGCTTCTCCTTGGTCGTAGGTGCTGCTGGTCCCACCACTGCTGCCTGCAGCAGGTGGGGAGGCTGGGCTGCCGGCGCGGGAGGCTTCCTCGGCCGCCGGTGGTGTGCGCGGACGGTGCCCCCAAGTGTGAGTGCGTGGGCCTCCCGGTGGGTTATCCTCTCACCGCTCAGCATCATGACCACACTCAGGCGTAGACGCTCTTTTTCATCCACCGCGTGACCTAACACGTCTTCCCTCTGAGGCGCGTATTAGACCCCTAGTCCACTGAGGAGAGTCCAGTTCAGAGGCGACGTCCGTGCCCAGGGCACAGGGCTGGCCAGGCGCACACCGGGCCCGTTACACAAGCCGGGCGCATTGCGTGCTCACCGTGTGCCGTCCGCTCCAAGCTCCTGCTGGGTGAGCGAGTTCATCCTCACAACCGGCCAGGTCAGAGCACCAGGAGGCGCCCCAGGTCACACAGGCAGTCAGTGCTGAGCTGGATCGGGACCTAAGACCCCACTGCCTCAGACGTCCAGCCGAGGCTTCACCAGGCCCGTGGGCCCCTTTTCCCCGGGTAACATCTCCCGAGGGGCCCCGTCAGGATGGCGGCCCTGGCTGAAGGGCCAGGTAGGCTGCAGCTCCACTCCTCTCTCCTGGAGGCTCCTCTGTGGCTGCTCAGGGCCTCAGGCAGGATGGCTGGAAGCTGCCACCGCCCCCTCTGCACATCACTCTTACAGCACAGCGAGGGTTAGCACTGGCCTGTCGACTCTCTGGCTCCATTTCCTCATCTGCATTTTCCTGGGGAAGCCTCTGGGGGCCATTAGTCCCCTCCCCCTTCCGCATGCACCTCCTTGTAGGATCATGCGTGCCTCTCACTTGCCGGGAGCGCCATCCCTTCAATTTTCTACTGACCCAACAAACCTTCATTGGTAACTAGGAAACAGCATGCAGGATCCCTGCCTCAAGTCCCTCAGAGCCTAGAGCAGTGATGGCGAACCTTTTGAGCTCGGCGTGTCAGCATTTTGAAAAACCTTAACTCTGGTGCCGTGCCACATATAGAAATTTTTTGATCTTTGCAACCATAGTAAAACAAAGACTTACATTTTGATATTTATTTTATATACTTAAATGCCATTTAACAAAGAAAAATCAACCAAAAAAATGAGTTCGCGTGTCACCTCTGACACACGTGTCATAGGTTCGCCATCACTGGTCTAGAGGGAAGAGAGACAAGTCAGTGACTCCCCTAATCTCAGGCCATACCTGCTAACGAGGTGGAGCCTGGAGAGTCTGGCAGTGAGGACGGGAGAAGTCAGGAGAGCAGTGAGGTGAGATCTCAGGTTTCCGAAGGCCATGCTGGTGTGGATGTTCCAAGGAAAGGGAAAGGAAAACCGAGGCATTTTGGGGACTCCTGGCAGCACAGGGTCAGCATATGGTTCTGTCTGGCCAGCAGAGTGAGTGGGGATGGGAAGACTGCTGAGGGGGAAGGTGAGGCTGGGAGATAGACAGGTACCAGATCAGGAACGCAGACTGAAACACTGACATTCTGTCCTATAGCGGACCGGGGGCCGAGAGGGTTGAGAGCCCATGGCTGACAGATCAGAGTACTACTGTCGTGATATGCAACCGCACGGTGAGGTCTCACGTGCCCAGCTGAAGGCTCGCAGAATCCAGGGACACTGCATGTGCAGCTCAAACTCTCACAGAGCTTTAGGGATCCGGTCCCAACCCTGTGAGCTCTGAGCTCAGTGTCCCATACCTGGTGCAGGTGGCAGGCGCTGGGAGGGCACCCCAGAGCCTGCCCTGTCGTCCTGACACTGGGATGGGGCGGAAGGGCCGAGGGCTCCAGGAAGCAGGCTTGTGTGCGTCCACTCTGCTCCTCTTCTCCACCTGCTGCTGAAATGACGTGTGCCTGGGCTGCTGGGAAGGCCAGTGCCTGAGACTTGGAGGGTTGGTGTAACGAGAGTATTTCCAGTGGCGGCATCAGTGCGCGCTGGAGGCCCAGAGGTTCAAGAGGGGGGCGGAGGCCACCTGGGGGCTCCATCTCCGTGGTCCCATGGCCCAGGGCGCTACTCTGTTCTCGCCCTCAAAGGTGTGGGCCAGAGCCTGTGCGAGAAGCTGCTCTGTGCCTGTGAGCAGACGGCGGCTGAGTGCATGGCATCGGCCTTCTTTAACCAGAGCCTCAAGTCGTCGGGCAGACAAGAGTGCCAGGGCCCCCAGCGCCCCTGCGAGGACGGCGGGCAAGGAGGGCTTTCGGCGTCCTCCGTGGGCTCCAGCTCCGAGGAGAACAGCGCGGAGGCCCTGCCCCCCACCGCACACCTGAGAACCAGGAGATTTCTGGGGAGGTCACTTGGTCCCGTGGGGGCCAGGCCACAACCTGGCCCCAGATAGAGCCCCGGAGAAAATGCCAAGCACACCTGCTCCCAGGCGCCTTGGGGCCTGAGCCGCCTCTCGGTCCTCCTCTGAGCAGAGGCTGGGGACAGGACGGTGGTGCTCCCAGCTCCCCTGGGAATGCCATCTGCAGGAGGCAGCGCAGGTGCAGCTCCACTTCCTGCAGCACACGGCGGAGGTGCAATAAATATCCAATCAGTGCTTTTTCTCCCCTTGGTTTTGTGTGTTTTTTAGAAATGTAGGTACTGGTGCATGAATAGATTGCAAAGGTGAGACAATGGGTGGTGGTGCGGGGGAGGGTCTATTCCCTAATCACTGGAAGCTAATTTTCTTCTATTAAAAAAGAATAGAAGGGAGTGTATGTAGTCAGCCAGTCTCATGAGGTCACCTAGGAGTCATCAATAACTCACCGAAGATGTACGCCAAGGGCTGAGATGACAGCACTTTTGGTCCGTGCCCTAAAAACACACCTGCCATCCGAGTTACTAGGAGAGGGGGCATGTGTCTCCCCCGCCCCCACGATGAAGAATCACCACTCACCCCGTCTTGGTCCTGGACTTGTTTTCACAAATGAGGGTTTATCCCAGTGGCTAGAAGGCCGGGAATGAAGCACTACTCTTGACACACGCAGATTCTGTAAAAAACGGAACTATACCCACCCACCTACTAGCTGAGATTTATTCTCTACCAGACTAAAGGCATCCCATCTTTAACCCTTTGCGGTCCAATTTTATTTTTGGAATTCAAACAGTCTGGTCCAAATTAACTGACAGGATTGAATGTTGAACCGGTTTGCAGTGTCGACCTCAACCTCGACATTGGACCTGCTACTAGCGCCTGGTCTGTTGAATCAGCCTCGATGTTGGACCGAAAAGGGTTAAAAATCCCTTCATCGACCCATTAAGGTATTTGAAATAACCGCGTGCTTCCACGTTTAGTTCTGTCCTTAAGGATCAGACGAGGTGGTGCCACACTGGACGTCTTTTGCCAGCTCCACGCCGTCTGATCCCACCTCTTGCTCCAGACCAGTGATGGCGAACCTATGACACGCGTGTCAGAGGTGACACGCGAACTCATTTTTTTGGTTGATTTTTCTTTGTTAAATGGCATTTAAATATACAAAATAAATATCAAAAATATGTCTTTGTATTATTATGGTTGCAAATATCAAAAAATTTCTATATGTGACACGGCACCAGAGTTAAGTTAGGGTTTTTCAAAATGCTGACACGCCGAGCTCAAAAGGTTTGCCATCACTGCTCCAGACACTGCTGTGACACCCAGTTCCCGAGGCTCTGACCAGCCACACTGGGCGGTGGGGTCTGACAAGGCCCACCACACCTCCTACCTGCTGGCCCAGGACTTCTCTGATGAGGTGTGAGGCCCCTTGGAAACTGCTCCGCATCAGGCACACGCAATCCAGAAACGTGGGGGAGTTCACTCCAACAGGGCCTTGACCATGAGTAGAAGCCAAAGGCTACACGCTGCCCTGCCTGCCATCGCCTGGTGGACCGGCCTGAGCTCTCCTCCCGAGACGCCTTAGACTGTCGCGGAGGCTGGATCTGGCCGTCATCGGCGAATCCTCTTCACCAGCCCTTTCTCCATTTCAGAGGTTCCCTGGGATCACGCCCAGAGAAACCCCTGCCCCTGAGCCTGCCTTCGGCTCTGCTGTAGGAGAACCCAGGCTAGGACAGGGCCCCCTACAGGCCGCCTCTGACTCAAAGTGCAAGTCAAAGGCAAACAGAAAACGAAGAGGCCGACTTTGGTGCTCGTTTTCCTGCTTTTTCATTCATGTGAACTTGGTACTTGAGGTTAGTAATTTATCAGATGACAGACTAGTAACAGGATCCAACAAGTTAAAGCTGGAAGGAAAGCACATGAGATAGCAAACCATCCCGACTGCTCATCTCACACCTAAACATCAGGTTCCGAGCGTGGGGGGACTGGCCCGAGTCCACAGGATGGAGGCAGCTGCCAGGGGCTCAGGCCGCTCTGCCAACTGGAGGAGCAGCAGTAATGAACACACACATGCCCTGAGGGTGGGCTTTACTCCCCATCATGTTCCAGACGAGGACTTCAAAGCCCCAAGGGCAGTCCCTTGCCTACAGCCCTTCGACAGGCAGTGGCCGGGGCGGGTTCCAGCCCAGAGCCCTGCCGCCCTGCTTTGCTGCAGCCTAAAGGAAGTCCTTGCAGTCAGCAGGGTGGGAGGTCCCAGAGGAGCTGCTATTTTACAGGGAGACTCCCAGTAATTTATGCAGCAAGGAGGCGGGGCTGAAAGGAACCTGAAGACCCAGCAGAGAAGCAGCTGTGCTTCCCCATGTCCCACGCTCACAGGTGACTTCCACCTCGGCCACACCTCCCTACAACCAGCCTTCACTCCCGGGTCTGAGACTCCCAGTGGGTGTGAGGAGGAATCCACTCGGCAACCTGACTTCCACTAAAAATTCTCATTTTAGCTACAGCAACATATTGAATAAACGTATTTAGTAAATGTAAAAATAGCCATTATAAAAATGTACTTAGGCACCAATATTTTGATTTTGTTTTATTGCTCACATATGAATTGCAGAGTGGATTTTTACATTTCAAAAAGCTCACTTCGTTACACTGACAACATATATTGCCATGAATAAAACAAACGAGTTCCATTTTCAGACAGGAAGAGAAGGGCTATTCTGAGGAGGGAAGTTAACCGCTGGTAAAGTGTGGCATTACTGTAAAAGAGAATGGGTTCAGAATTATTAAGGGTGTGTGCGTGTGTGTGTGTGCATGTATATGTGCCTGTGTGTGCGTGTGCGCGTGTCTGACTAACTTCAATGACAACGAACGCTGAGCAAAGACAACACAAGCATAGGAGGAACATTTAAATGTTAACTATTCAATGTCAAGAAAATATGATATAAGCAACTGTCTACAGCAAAAAAGTGATAACAGTTTATAAGAATTTTCAGTATCTACAAAAATATAGTCCTACAGTGCCCTTCAACCAATCCCACACTCGCCGCCGCAGGCCCAGCTACAACACAGTACGCACCCCCCTGCAGGAGCTCCTGAAGGCACAGGCCACAGGGCAGACCCGCTTCCAGGGAATCCTCGGCAACAAGACCAGCTCACTAACCGAGGGCACACAGAAGGCTACTGGGATTTCAAAACAAAACAAAACAAAACAAAACAAAACCCAGCTCAACAGTTTACACACAGACCAGGAGAAGGCGATAAGCATGAACAGAAGTGGTTGTCCTGTCCATGCAACACGCACCGACCACGCTGAGACCTGGGGTCCTTGGAGCAGGAGTGCAAACGAGTACATGTCTTCCTTTCCTAGCTCTCACATGCCACGCTCCCACACAGAAGCACACAGTGCTCACCTGGGAAGTGACACCCGAGTGGATGGGGATTGTTTCTGCATGTCCCCCTGCTCTGACTTTCAAATGCACTGTCAACAATTAAGATCCTTCTTTAAAAATACAGAAGAAAAAAAGAAAATTAAAAAGACACAAAATTTGGCTTCTTAAATGGTGACGCATTTTAGCTGATCAAGAGGCAAATACAGTGACAGCTGCTATAGGATCACGACGCCCTCGGTGACCGCTGTTACGCAGAAAACTAGGGCTTCTTCATGGACATGTACTACAGCGGCCAGGACGTCGAGAGTCGTTTTAGAGGTTCAATGACTACTATCTCTTGCAAAGTGCTTTAAGATGCTGTACTTTGGTTCAGATGTTGAAAAAAATTTGAGCATGCTTCTTTACTTTTTCTGTTTCTTCTACATGTGCCCAGATAATCATAAACCAAAGGTGTAGCATGCCGCTCTTCACTGCAATTTTACAAACAAAAGCCAAAACCAAAACTGGTTTTTCAGTCACAATTTTTAATATGTGTATTTTTTATGTAAAAAGAAATAAAATAAAAAAGGTAGAACTATAAACAAGTTATGTTATAGAAATGTCCTAGGAGAATGTTGTAAGACTTGCAAAGACAACTGTTCATTTTGCCGTGTAGTGGACTCACTGAAGTGTATGTGGCTTTAAGACAATACCATGGGTCGGTCAGCAGGTGAGTAGAGTGAGTACACATCACCTTGGTGGCTTAAACCGACAGAACTTACACTGACAATCCTTAGCACACTTGATTGCTAAAGCCATAGGCACCCGTTAAATGTAATATAACAAACCCTAAACGCATATGTAATATAACAAACCTTGAACACAAATGCATACAAGCTACAGTTCAAATCCTACAAATTAAAGTCTGTTTTGGTAATTTTCTGACTATGATGATTAAAAACAATGAACAATATAAAAATGTAAATTAATGTGCTCTTAATAAAAATCAAAATGTGTACTCTTCACAGATGAACTAGTAACTGTTTTAAATGTCTTTTTTATACTAAATATATATATATCTCATTTAATTAATTGAGCCACAGCAAAATACTACTATAATTTCAAAGCACAGTCTGTAAACTAATACATCTTATGATGTAAAAATATTGCACAGTTCGGTATCTGGAGAGCAAGCTCTAAGCCTCTCACGTAGAATGATCACTCTCTCGGCAGGAAATACAGTATTACAAGAACCAGACACTTTAAAGTATGGCGACTGATTTTAGGGTCAGATTCTAGGCATATTATTCAACAAACATCACTACCATAAACAAGCGGAGGAACGCCTATCGCACGTATCCCGATAAGTGAATGAAGAGACGCCTGTCGCAACATCGGAAACACAGGAACAAAAGCCTCAGGGCAGTCAGCAGCCCAGGACTAGCGTACTAGCATGTCTTTGCTTTTGCAGATAACCAAAACTAAAGCAAAAATCCTAAACAGTTGTGTAGATGTTTAAGAAATACAAGAGACACTTCATACATCTTTCAACCCTCGAAGGCCTAATTTTCAAAAAAAAAAAAAATGTTTGAGAAGAGTTTAAAATATACTGTTTAACAATGAAATAATGTTGAGACCAATACATGCTAAACTTTAAAGCCAACAGGAACCTCAAAAGAAATTAATATGGCATAAATCTATCTTCAAAAGTACTTGAAATCACATATAGTTTCAAAATTTCTAGTATGGTATAACAAGCATTTGGTCAAATGTACGTTCCACCGCTGTTTTCAAGAAGTGTGTTATAGATGTAAAGTAAAGAGCCCGGCCTGCATTCCCAGGCTTTGACATTCTATGCTGAGGTCTTCCTGAGCCACTCAGTACACACATAGGTCAGGAAACTTCATCTCATAGACGGGGACAGACTGGTACTGGGCATGCCCAGAAGTAATGGTCAGTGTTCCCGACGGGCTGGGAGGAGGACTGGAAGAGAAGAAGGGCATTGTCAACAGTGACTTAGATGCACTTCCCGTCACAGAGCGTCCTAACTGCTATTGCCCCAGCCGGTGAGGACTTGAGGAGAAATGTACCTGGTTCAATATAGCATTCGAGTGCAAGTCTTCCAAAGCACCCGCTGTCCTTCTAGGGACATGCTAAAGGACAACTAGAAAAGCCAGAGACACCTGGACAAGAAATGGGAACAGACTGGCTAGCGAAGACAATGCCTACCAAGACAAGGTACTGTATGACCTCTCGTTTATCCTAAATGAAAAATGTAATTACTTAAACATAATCAGCTACAGTTTACAGGGGCTAACCGTTCCTATTCTGTTGTTGTTGTATTGCTGTTGTAACAACCCTTACCGTATGGTGAGTTCCAGTATTTGAGTAAGTCTATCATGAAGCAAATTCGCCTATAAAAGAAAAAAAAAGTTATGATTTACTGTTTTCCAAATACCCATATGTAATAATACAAATGCAATTTTAAAGACAAAGCATAACTGTAACTATGAAGCTGATGGTACAGAATGCTGTAATATTTTGGTTTTGTTTGTCTCATATAATATAAAGTTTCTCTTTTACTCCTTTCCTAGTCTCACTGGTAAAAACAAACCAATAGACACACAAAATCACCCACAGCAAAAGCATTGAAAACCACTGCAAAAGAAAGTATCAAAGCCACACCAATCTTTAACATGCAGCTTGGGATCTCTCATTTCCATCAGCTTCTGTGACACTAAGAAACTGTTTAGCTTCACAGCTATCTAAGCGTTGAAGTTCCGGTCCCTGATACATCACCTTGTCTTCTGCTGATTCGTCTAAACACGGAGCCTACCAACCAATTACCAAGAAAGTTTCCCCCAAATCACACTCCACCCCTGCCCCTTCAGCATTTAGTCACTCACTTTGGATTCACACTGTGCTGCTATTTCTTCAAAAGGTGCTTTCTGGAACTTCTCTATCACCAGACGCCTCTTCTCCTTTTCCTGCTCTTCCATTCCATTGGTATCTATGTACATGTTTACAGAGACCCGTTAAAGCAACACAGAATTTCAGGGACCCTTCCAATGACCATAAGAGTAAATGATCTCAAAACCAAAAAGAAACAATTTATAATATTACTTTTATAAGGAAAAAAGCAAAAGGTGTAACATGCTTTGAAATGTCTTAGTTAAGACTAGAAAGCAACACTTATGAAAAAGGTTTTTAAATCTCAGGGTTCAAACTACACAGGCCCCTTTTCATAGACAAGCTCTGTTGGCCACCGAAACAGCAGAGCACGACCGCTTCCTTCCCGAAGGAGGAATCTTCTCTCAATAGCCACGCGCTGGCACAGATGAGGCGCTGGAGGCACCTGCTCAACTGGCTACCGAATGCACAGTACAGACCACTCTGCTTGGCCTTTCCCATTTATCGCCCACAATCCGGAAAGCGGGTTTTTATCTGAAGATGATGTATGGTCTAGCCAAAGTTTGCGATACAGTAAAATAACAAATGTCTACCTTGTCACAGATCATTATTTTCCTTGGTATAGACAGACTTTTCTAGAATTGTGCAAGCATATTACAGTGCATTCCAATGCCACCCTTATTTGTTGGCCAGCATGCAGGCTGCACGAACTTATGAGAAATAGGATGAAAACTCTGAGAAGTGCTGGGAGAAGTAAACAGAGTGGTTTTTAACAGGCACATAGAAGTACAATGAGAAGTGAGTTTGCCATGGGTGAGAGTGTCAGCAGGCACGACAGTGTCACGTTAATCCCTGCTATGTCATCAACGAAAACACCAGGCAGGAAATTAACCTTCTCCCGAGATCACACAGCTAAAAATGCTGCAGCCAAATTTCACACCAGGTTGGACTGACTCTGTGGTCTTCACTTATCTTGGTATAAAGTATTACTCTCATTTTTTATAATTGTAAAAACCTAAAGAACGTAACTAAAGAAATCAATTACACATTTATATAGAAATCAGCATATAAACATGTACTAAGATAAAGATAAACTATCAAAATACTGGGGGAGTTAATGAGTACAAAAAATCTCACCAATTGCTTTCTTTAATGCTTCAAAGGTAATTTCTTCAGTGTTACTAACCTAGAGAAAAGGGATTTTAAGTAAAATAGTTAAGAAAGGTCGATATAAATAATACTTTCATGCAGTTACAAGTAATAGAAGAGCTTTTACAAGATTTTTTCTTCTCTGTGTTGGCGTGATTTGTAATTATACTCCACAAATGTGACAATGGTGTACTTTAGGGGTTCCCAAACAAGTCTACAGGCTATCACTGGGCTGGCCGGATGTGCATCCTGGGCCCCCAAGCAGCGCTGAGTAGAACCAAGCTGCAGTGGGGGAAGCGCAACGAGACCGGAGCCCCCCGACGGAACGGCTTCATAGGGACAGTGCTTGCAAGCACCCCTGGCAGAGGTTACGCGCTGTCTCAGCCATGTAACCAGTGAGAAATGAGTTCTCTATAGTCTCTATAAGTTTCGGCACCTCATACTGTTTACAAAGCGAAAATAAAATAATCTAAAACTGTAAATAGTTTAAAAGCAAGAATCCCTACTTTGGGAAGTGTTCAGTGAGAACAGTTCACCGACAGCTTAAATGACCACGTTCTGGGTCTTCCAAGGCCCACCACCAAGTCTTATGCTCCAGAAACCCCCTCTGACTGGGGCTCCCACGTCTCCCTAGCGCTCGGAGATGTGGGAAAGTGCTTTATGATGAAGGTCAGTAACACTCGGTGGTGCCAGCACGCTTCAGGAAGGATTGTTTTCAGGAGGGATAGTAGATCCAGCGACTACGTTATCTCTGAATGGAAATGAAGAAATGGGATGTGAGTACTTGCCTGAGCTCTGGTCATCCCTAATTTTAGCTCATGAGCTTCCTTTGCTAAGTCTAAGGCAGCAAGACTAAGGAGAGCGGAAGCCTGCGCGCTCTGCACCTGCGCGGCTGCAATGCAAAGGCTTGAGCGGAAGCCAGCGGCACAGCTCCACTGCCTCGGCTTCCTACTGAGGCTCGGAGTTGTAGCTGAAGTCACATTAAACTTGGGGTCTCCGGTGGCTCTGTTCTAGATGTCTGGAGCAGATATGTAAGATTAGGCTCTGGCTGGTCAAGTATTTGTATCTAGAAGCAACCTAGTACCTCAATGAGAAAAACAAAACAGTGGTTCTTGTAACTGGTTAAGAGGATCGGACTTCTGACCAACCACCACAGCCCAGGAGAAAGAACACCGGGGACTTCACTTATTACCTGTTCCATCTGGACAGGTGAGAAGCCAGCGTGCTTCACTTAACAGATCCTCTTCCCTGGTGGTTATTGTCCTTAATTCAGGTCACGATGACTGTCTCTCAGCATCTAAACCAAGTCGTCCTGCCCCTGTCCCTTTTGGTAACCTTTCTCTAACTGGCTCTCAGTCTAACTTGCTCTGCCTTCAGCACAGGGTCCTCCTGCCCCCAACCCTCCTCTTCATCCCCGGCCTGGCCGCTCCAGGTCCTCAGAGCTCTGTCCAGGTGACTGCAAGGCTCTCCCCCTCCAGTCACACGTCTCAGTCACTGTGTGCGGCACAGCTCTGAAATGACTACCTGAATTTCAGTGTTTCCCTGCTTCCTACCCAACTACATGCAAAGCCCTAAGGCTGGTAATAAAAACCTTCTATAATTTGTCTTCAATCTTGTTTCCCCAGATTCCCTTTTATGAACCCTATTTTTAAAAAATTGCTTTATCATAGTGTTTAATGATTCATATGTTTCATACAATGGAGCTGCTAAAAACAAGCCAGCTACTCCATTTGGTGCTCATCTAAACTAGAATCTGCTCCAACTCTACCTGGCGTGCTGGAGTCACGGAAAAACAGGGCAAAGGCACCATCCCCGAAGAGTTTCCAGTTCCTCTTACATATGACTTTTGCCTCATGTGTGATCTATAACTCTGACCTAGACTGTACAACACCCTTGGGCCTGCATAAAATCTGCAATTCATCTTTTCTCAATCAGTTCTAGGTCACTTCCACGGGCACTTCAGTAATTGTGTGGCACCCGGCACAGCAGGCCCTGACCACCGTTGCTGACCTTAGGATCATTGTTTGTTAGCACACATGCAGGAATCTTCAGTTATAATTGGGAAAAAGGCAAGAGTATACATGTACCAGTATAAAATAGATCTGTTATTTGTCCTAGAATACACAATAATCCTGTCCAACAAACTGTTGCTTAATTTTGTACAAAGAAAAAGTGAGTATACATACCCTCTCATCCATTCCCCCAAATAATTAAGCACTGACTACCACACCTCTTAGAGAAGAATGAGTGGTGATTCGAATCTCACATCCATTATGCATTGAAATCATGCCTACAGTGCTCAGAGAGAACACTAGACGTCAAAGGTCATGTCTACAGTGCTCAGAGAACACTAGAGGTCAAAGGTCATGCCTACAGTGCTGAGAGAGAGCACTAGAGGTCAAAACTCATGCCTATAGCACTTGAATCTATTACTCAACTGGTAATTTTATCTCAGGAGGCAGGCACGCCTCCATTACATTTTAGCCATTTATCTTTTTGAAATAATTAAAGAGTTTTAGAAAAAGTTAACATATGTATATATCGATATATAAGGCAATTTTTAGAAAAGCGATTCACAGTAAGCTAAGGTTTGAATAGCAAATGTTGGAACTGACATACCTCAAGTGGACCAGATATCTCAACAGACTATAGTGACAATTAGAGTTGTATCTAGAGAAGACACAAGCTTGCTATGATCTCCATCTAAACAATCTTCTGACTTTGTTTTTAAGTTACAAACCTAAAAGCAGATATTAGTTAGATCTGAAGACTAACTGAGATTATGTATGTAAAATTTCAAATAATTTTGATCAAATATTAGAGTACTGTTTTTAAATGAGCAATTTTCTTAACTGATCCACTATTAGCTAATGTACTTGTTCATGGTTTGATATTTTGCTACACCATTAACTGGTGAATACCTAACTGACCCAAATCTCTCCTACCCTCACCATGTAATTAGTTCTAGCCTAGAAGGTAATTTCTTTTGTCTCCTGGTATTTGAACAATCATTCCTAATATGCAAATCAGATTCCATAACGGTCAATGGGTTTGAAACTCCAACCAGCTCAAGGACATCTTTTAGTAAACAGTTTACTTAACTTTTCAAATGCTCAGTGGGAGGCATGTTTGACTTTGGACTTACAATAAAGAAGGCTCTTTAACAAGTTAAGAAATATATTAATGGATTAATGTAAAGTTCATGTTCAAGAATCTTCCCTCGACCTTAAGTCTTTATGCAAATGTCTTTTCAGTTCATTTTCTCAAAAAAGGACTGTTTGTAACAGTTTGAAGGGCTTTAAATGTATCTTTAAAAGAAAGAAATACAGTTAACAAAAGGAAAATGGAGTAATACCAGTCAATAAAATAAGTTATACTCTTGACAAAATAAACTGTATAAACTAAGGCTTAAGATGATGTTCTTCCCTCAAAATGTAACAGCACCAAATTCAAAATCATTACAAGACAGAGCGAGCAAAATACCCTCCTCACCAGCAAGGAGAACAGAAATTAAAATCGCTCAGAAGAGGTGAGTTTGGGGAAGATGATTTTTCTGGAGCCTTAAATTGGCAAGAAACTTTCAGCCAATCTCAGAGCCCCACGTTCCACAAGGAGCACTAACTGCCTCGTGATGCTCTGCAGACAATTTCTTAATAAAATGGATCAGTTCTACCCGATGGGGAGATGAACAGCACAGAAGATGCATGTCAGTCAACTGTACCCTGGCCCCCAAACTGTTTGAATTCTTGAGGACAAATTAACTGGCGGGGACCGAGGGGGGACGAGAGAGGAGGCTGAGAAAGCATGAATTCAGACAACTTCCTTCCCCTTTTCTTAGATGGATATTCTTTTAATGATTTATACTGTACACATGAGAAACATGAAGTACCTAGGAAGGCAAACAATGGATAAGCCAAGGAGGAGGCTGACTTGGCATGCTGGCATTGCGGCACTTTTACCCGACTATCAAAAAGTCTCTGGTGACCGTGTGATAAGTCCAGAGAGTGCGGCTGCGCTTCTTCCTACCACTCGGGAGGTTACACTCTCGTGCGCTAGTGAGACAGGAGGAGAGCGTTACATCTCTGAGGGTCAGGTGAGGCCCAGCCCTTAAAGACACAGGTCAGCGAGACAGCCTCACCAACGCTATGCTCATTACACTTACTATCTAAAGTGATAAAAAATGTCCCTCACAGAAGAAGTTTTGAAAGTTTTAAAGTTGTGAGCATCTGAAGTATCTATCTCCATTTATTCTCATAATTTGTGTTTCATAAATCTTAAAAACAGGATCTAGAGGCCTCCTAATTTAATGATAGGTCTTAAGTGACATTTCTTTCTTATAAAAAAATCTTACTTGGTTCTGTTTTCAGTTCCTGTTATTACACTAAGTTACATTGTAAACCCTAATGTCATACATGTTACATTATGTATCTTTATAAATAGCCAAAATGAGTTTAGTAAAATAAATTACAAGTAAGTTCCAGGCTGAATCAGATTAATTTCTACTACAATAAAAACTGCTGATTTGGGGATAATTAGAGTTACATTAGCTCCTATTTGAAGCATGGAGGGCAAAAAATTCTTTTAAATTGATGTCTATCCCAAGACAGCACTGAGCACAGACTGTCAGCAACTCACCACATCGTCCGAAGGGAGGCTGCCGGGTAGAATATCCACCTGAATGGACACGGTGTCCACGATACTTTTTCTTCTAGAAAGTCGATCTTCATCTAAAAAAAAAGCCCCGTTATATGCCAGCAAGAAATGGTGTGTCATTTATAAACAACATGCTTCAGGTTTCAAAACACTTCAGACAATTAAGACAGTGTTTTTTTGCTTTTTCTAAATATACAAGGCACCGTGTTCTCAGACCCACACGTTTTGTGATGCAGCCATTTACAGCCTGCGCCATTCTAGCTTCCTAGTCCCACTTTGATTATCCCTGGTTTCATTCCCGAGGGGGAAGAGGAGTGAAGGACTAGAGGCGGCGAGGAAAATGAACCAGTTACTCTCTTACTGACCACCACTCCCTCGGGTTGCCTTCCAAGGTAGTGATTGATGCCACTAATCGAATTTGGTAGTTGACTCTTTTTCTGGGCACACAGTAGGATTGCAATTATATGGAAGATACGCAGTTAGAATCTGAGCACCAAGGAAATCTTTTCCTGTTTCAAACCAGTAAGGAGCTGCGATTGTGCCATCACAGCCTAACTTGGGCAGCGTTCGTCACCGTGGCACTGCTGGCATATTAGGCCAGGTAACCTGGAGGACCTGTCAGTGCACTGCAGGATGGTCAGCAGCACCCCTAGTGTCCACCACTCGATGCAGTAGGCCTGTCCGAACGGTGATAACGAAACAGGCTCCGGATTGGTAAGTGTCCCTTGGGATGGGGAAAATCACTCACTGAGAACCACCGACCCAGTCCGTCCGACTGAGAACAGACCTTTGTACAGTTGTCCCTATGTGCCTCCATCACGATACCAGCTGTTTAAAGCACTGACCACATTGCTCTCCAAGCAATTCTACTCCTCCCCTGATGAATTAAAAAGGCGCTCTGGGCCTCTCGTCAGATCTTACATAGTAACTGCCATTGCTCCTGACTGATCTAGTGCTCAAGTCCGAGTGCCTTTCCTACAACCTGAGTCTTGTTAGCTCACCTGCCTTCCACACCTTCCTACAGACAGAGACCTCTCCTGGAACTCTTCATTCCCTGCCCTGGACCACCCCCCCAAAGATTAGTATCTTTCAGGCCTAATCACATATATCACTTCCTTAAAAACGTTAACTATCACGTACCCCTCTTTCTTCTAGCTACGAAAATTTACTCTCAGTTAGGACTGGCCTTCCCTTCAGTCAATGTCACCTTCCACCCCCACTGGGCCTTGTACTGCAGACACGGAGTTAGTGTCTCATCTCCCCCCATTCCAGAAATGCAGTGACCGACGGATCTGGGTCTGTCACGCAGGAGTCACTCGGTTCTGCTCTATGAAGGCCGAGGGATGGAACCAGCACCTGCTCCACGTGACAACTGCTCCTGCACCGAGTTCTGCGAGTTTTCAGGTCACTGTTTTACTGCCGGCTAATAGCGAGCTCACCTAAGACACTGCATTCTTTCTGTATCTCCTCCATGATCATGCGCTTTGATATAAATTAGCAAATATAATGGAACTACTACAAAATAGTATGTGATCATCATGCCAACTTGCTTGTACCCTCCAAGCAGGCCAATGTCCAAGGTCTCACTAGAACGCAAACTGAGCGACACACAGCCTACTTCACCAAGAGCACGAGAAGAATGCCTCGCTTGACATACGATGGCTGGGGGTTGCAGAGAGAGTCAAACTGAAACCTAAGACAGAGGGAAAGAGAGGGACGGGCAGGAAAGGGATCAGTGGGGGCAAAATCAGTGAGAAGAGAAGGGAAGCATTGAGGAGACAGAAAAAGACTCAAAGTTTTAAAAGGAAAGGAAATAAACTTTAATGGGAAACCATACACATATCCTCGAGCGTCTGACCTGTATAGTCACCTGCTTACAGGGCTGCAGCAAGCCCAGGTGCCCAGCCGGCACCTTGTCCATCTGCACAAACGTACTGTTCCTAAATCAGAGTGTCTGTTCTGCGCTGCCTGCCATGCCTGCTAGATGCAGCCTCGCCCCCTCCTGGACCGCCCTGCCCTCCGGCTCCAGAGAACGCCCTGCCGCCATCTCAGAGTCTGAGCACACAGCCTGGGAGACGTTTGCTTCCCTTCCCCTGGGGGCTGGGGCAGTCCCAGACACTGCTGACTGTGTCCCTTCCATTTTCCACCCCCTCCCTCCTGTATCCTCAGGTTTGAACAGGAGCAGGATTTCAGAACCAATACTTAGAGCTGCGCCTCGCTCCTCCCGTGCTGCTCTGCTGCCACCTGGTGCACCCACACGTAACGTACACACTTGACCCAGACGGCTAAGGGAGAAAGGAGTCTGAATGCAAGTGGCACAGAACTACGTTACATGGAACTTTCTGTGGCTATTTAAAAGTTAGATATGGAAACTGTCTTCAAACTGTATACACTAAATCATAAATGCGACTTGGGCTACAATAGTACTCAGATTATTAAAGAGCTAACTGGGGAGAACAAAATTTCACAAATAACTTATCTTCACAAAACTCAAAATGTCACAGTTTAATGCTGATATTACTTACAAAGGTATGTTTTGGTCCTATAGAAAAGCGCAAAATTCCACAGAATTAATGCATACAGGGTGGGGCAAAAGTAGGTTTATAGTTAAAATACAAAGAAATAAATATAAATAAATAACTAATAAATTATAATGTAAGAATAAACTGTGTTTTGCATTACTCACAACTGTAAACCTACTTTTGGCAACCTCTTTATCTATAGAATAAAAACCAACCAAAAATCATGGAATAAAAAGTAATAACCAAGTTGTTTAATTTCAGCCTTCCTATCCTCATTTGTAAACAAAGATAATGCTACCTCCCTCACTGAACTATTTTAAAGGTTAAATAAATAAGTGAACATGAAGTACACATCACAGTGCCTAGCACACAGCAGGTGCCTAATAAATGGCAGCTGCTATCATGATGATGGTAGCGTATATATGTATATCTATTTCTATATCTACCTCCAATACACACACACACACATCTATGTCACACAACAAACTAAATGTGTTTTGCTTTTTTTTCTTCAGTATGATGTTCTTAAACCCTTTAATTTTCAAAATTATCACCTGATGGTTATAGAGCCAAAGGAAAACACAATGCCCGACTGACTGTCTCACAAGAAGCATGTATTCTGCACTGAGGCAGGGCACACGCACCACAGACTGCTGTACACCACCCATCTTTACAAATCAGAGCACTCGCACTCCGACTGCTGCATTATATAACCAAGTACTGAAATGTTCAGAATTCTTCCAGTCAGTGATAGAGAGGCATTAAGAAAGGAATACAGCTTTTTTCAGGGGTGGGAAGAAATGAAAAGAACAAACCACCTGTTTAAAAAAAAGCACCAGAATGTTCACTAAAAACTGTTAAGAGTTAAAGGATCAGGGTCGAAGGAAAGCAGCAGTGCAAATTAACTGCGGCTATGGGGGGGCAGAGCGAAATCATAAGGGAACTTGTAGGTGTGGAAGGTGCGCAGGCACCGTCCCGCTCTAAAAGGCGTGTCTGATTAAGCTACTCTCCTACAGGATGGGGGGACGGGCAGCCAGACCGACGCTGGGTTTACCTTCGTACTTGTGCCTGGGCTTAGGAGGGTTTTTGCCTGAAGGAAAGAAAGCTAAAGCCACACAATAAGAATGAAATATTTTAAAGTCTTTTAAATTACAATGCTCTACTAATGTTTTATTCTTAGCATTTTTATTTCCCCAAGGAACTCATGCAGAATAAAATCTTGTATAGCACAGAATATAAAATAAAATGCAAAAGAATTCACTAACATCTCAGATGCTACGAACAACTATCTTTGTAATAAATGTATGTAGTTTGGATCTACATTATACAAAAAGATAAGTATTTATAAAGATTGTGCTACCTTTAGTGATTATTCCATAAAACCACCTAACTGAACTCAAACAGTTCTCTTATACAACAGAGGTTTCCCCAAAGGAAGAACTAGTTCTACCAAATTTAATATTTATATAATCACCAAGTGAAAATGAAGGCGGAAGATATTGTTTGGTTTTAGTATCTAAAGTAAAAATCGACTGTAAGACACTATGCAGTTTTGCCATGAAGCACTGCAGAATTACTGTGGTCAATGACAAGAACAGAGGAAATAAATAGTGCATAGAAGAAAGTATATTCTTAACTCACAACGTTTGAGACTTCTTTGCACAGCAAATGATCTGTACTCTTTCACGTGACAAAAGTTGCCTAATTCATTAAGCTCAATAAACACAATTAACTAATTAAACAATTTTCACCCATTTCCCATTTCCATAAGTTAAACACAACATTGGTTAATGAGGAAAGATCTTACTTTCCTTCTTTGTTTAAAGTATATTATTATTTAGTGCAACTAAAATAATCACTTGAAGATTAAATCTGTTCATGATAAAATCACATACAGGGGTGAGCAAAAGTAGGTTAATAATAATACAATAATTAATAAATAATAATAAAAGAATAACAGTTTAGCATACTTATAACTGTAAACTTACTTTTGCTCATCCCTGTATATACCTTTAGAGACTTATTAAGTTTTCAAGAGGAAAATAGAAAAATACAAGTAACCATCCTTGAGCATTTGTAAAGCTGTGGTACAGTAAATATACAAACTATTTTCATTGCTAACTGAGAGTGGAAAAGTTATTGAAACATATCGTTAGAATGAGAGTTCTAATCAGCCTCCACTCACCTGTGACTTGTGGTACATATGGCACTGACAATCTCTCAACACTATAGCCACTTCCACCTAGTGACTCTGCAATCTTGTTGGTCAAAAAGTACAAACTTTTGTCATGTTTCTCCAAAGATTTTGGAAGCCTGTCAGATTGATCAAACAAAAGTAATTCAGTGTTATTTAAATTACCGAGCAAAAATAAGTTATCATTCAAACATTCCAGGTCAAAGCCTAAATATTATAAATGAACTGTAATTAGCAATAGGCATAGTATAATTTAGAGGACTAATTTGAGCTCTTTAAAGCAGGACATGTGGTTCCTCCTATTAACCATTCTGCTGTGACTCATTCCCCAATAGCGGTGAGGTCAGGCTCACATTGTTCTGTTGGTATTCACACATTAAATGATAAAGAGGACTAAATTCAGCTTTAACTTGCAAGGTGATTAAAACCTACTGAGAGAAGAACATAAACATGCCGTCTGTGCTAGTTAGTCTGTGCTAGTTAATGAAAAACCGTATGGGCCAGCAAGTGACAGGAAGCACTTGCCCAATCACATGAAGCTTCTCTTTCCTATCAAACGGCCTGATTTTATCTTATGTTGATGCTTTCAATAGAAAACCGCTTTTAGAGCCCAAAAGTGTGAAGAAGACATTGTTCATTTATTTTTTTGTTTGAATAGCAAGGAAGAATGTAGTGTATAAGTTATTAGTTTTCCTTAATACAGTCTTTCTCCCAGAATTTTATGAGTACTGTTATCTATTATGGAAAATCTTGAACAGGATATTGTATTTCTTTAAAGGAGTGTTCATTTATATGAGAACATGCTATTTAGGAGATATATCTCCATATTAAAAAGATAAATATTTTTTAATCAAAGATTGATCTATGTTTGCACAAGCCTAAATTTATCATGTATAAGAACTTCTATAGCAAGAGAAAGAAGTGAGACAAATTAAATGCCAGAAACACGAAACATGATTATTATAAAACACCAGAAAATTATTCTCAGCAGCTGATTCCTTTATAATCACTGACTGGTCTCTCAAGTCAGCACCCCGCCTTAAAATGTGAAGATTTAACATACGTGCACTTATCTCTGAAAACGTGCTCTGGCAGAAAATAAGGGGCTTCCATCGTCCGCATTTCAATAACCTGAAAAATACCCAGAAACAAAATAAAAATAGAAAACCTCTCTTCTCAGGACCCTGCTATGAAAACATGGAAAGCTAAAACAACAAACAAAAAACAGAAACAAAAACTAAACATATGTGAGAAATACCATCACTTTATTTTTAAATTTAAACTATGCTTACAGCCCAAACGCAGAGTTCATTTTGTTTTTACATTTTACATTATTTTTAAAATTCACCAGGTAACAAAATCATGACAATAAAGTAATACATGTAGTAAAAACACAATGACCCGTTACACCTGATTAAACCTACTGCAAAGGGTCAGAACACGTATGTTCTCAGCTGCCTCTGCTTTGGAAATCCCTCACAAAGCACCGGCCCTCGGCATGCCCCAACCCCGTGCTCCTTGGGCAGCCCTCGGGAGAGGGCTCAGTGCACGGGAAGTCTGGCTGCTCCGTCAACTGTGAGCAACCTAAGGGGTAACTCTGCTTTCACAGCATTAAATATTCACTTGTTTAGTGAATGAATGAGTTCTATTTCTTAGAATGCACTAAAATCCAACATTTTAGTAAGGACTGAGAGATGTACTCCCAATTCCATAAGATGAGGGTCCCCTAAAATGTTTTTAAATCATTCAAGTAATTATTTAATGAGTTACTGCTGAAAAAGCCAAATATAGTCGAATGACCGAGAACAAATCTCTGAGAACAAAGTTATTCAACTTTTGAGATCTGGCTCAAGTAGACTAGTTTAAAACAATAACAACAAAAATAGTAAAATTTAAGAAAATTTAGATACTAAGATTCATAATGGTTTAATGTAGTTTCCATTTACAACAGAGGATCCAGAAAAGACCCAGTCACTGCATAATTCTATAGAATTATCTGAACTTGATACATAAACATCAAAGTTGAAATTAATCATCACCAAAAGAAAATCAGCCATGTTTGTATAAAAACCAAGCTGAGGAGCTTTTCGCAATACCTGACCTTGGTAACATGCTGGCAAAACGCAGGGACGGCGATCATCTGGCTGACGAAGTTGAGGTAGGCGGCCACCAGCGCCATGATGCCGCAGCGGTGGAACATGGGCAGGTTGTCCTCGTTGAGGATGGCGCTGTCCTTTAACAGAAAGCACAGCACAAGGCTTAGGCTCCCAGGTCCCTCTACGGCGCCACTGAGAGCTGCGGGTGGTTTGGAATGCTAACCAAAATGTCACCTTATAAGAAGTTTTTTTTTTTTAATTCTAAAAGGAGAATAAATGCCCATTTATAGAAGAGTAAAATCTCTCAACTAGCTTTTCCTAAGAAAAAATAGTGTATGTATATATTAAATATATAAACATCTCTCTCTCTCTGATATACATATATAATATATACACATACTCTCACTGCTTACTGTCCTTTTATTACAGAATACTTAACTCCTAACCAAACAACTATATATATATTATTTAATGACTATCTTCCCCACTGAACTCCAAGTATGAGCTCAGGGACCATGCTGTCCTTTCATCACAGTATTTTCCTGGGGACTCGATCAATATTTAGCACACAAACAAATGCTCATTCAACATTTGTTAACAAAACAAATGCCTATGGTCATTGTCTTGAGTATTATAGATTTAAAACTAGACACTCCCTTTTCAAAATTCATGTCCTTGGATAAGTGCAACAACACTTTAAAGATGGTATCTGTTTCATACAAAAATGTTTTCCTCAATGAAAGGCTACGAAAGCATACCTGTAAAGCAATGGCTAAGCGGATGAGATCAATAACCACCTCTTCATTGGCCAATTCAATTGTCATAAGAGCAAGAGAAGTATAAAGTAACTCATAGTTTTTCTGAACGTTGTCTTCCTCTTTACAGCCCAAATATATGTGCCGATATAGTTGTTGCCCATTCTGAAAAGGGTCGTGACAGAGGAAAAAGATGTTTGCTTAAAATGTAGTAAAGGCAGATTTCACATGCATATAACCTCTTATAAAGTAACTATCTTATTACACAACATACGGTGGAAGAGAAATTTAAACTGATAACTACATGGTCAAATTGTATCCCCATCATTAACATCAACAAATATACCAGCATACAACTACAAACTAACAGAAGAGTTGAAGAACAAGCCTTAAATAAAAACAGCAAGAAAAAGTTTTAGTGTCAACAATGAAAATATTTTTAGTAGTATTTGAAAAGACAAAAGCAAATTGCAGATTGATATAAGCAAAAACTAAAATGGATGGCAGGGTTAGGGGGGCCTTGGTAATGATGGGGGAATCTGGCTGAGGGCGAAGGTGCTAAGCTGCCTTGTCTGAGAGAGGAGCCTCCTGGGAGGCGGTTAGCACTCGTCCAGGGAAGAGCCTTGCAGGTTCAGCTATGCGCTGGCATGAAGTCCCCAAAGGCAAGTCTGAAGCTGACACAGAGGGAGAGGTTACAGAAATTCCCAGGGACTGCGCAGAGGTTTCCCCCAAACCAAGCCAACATCAATCTATTAATCAAGTATGGCTTCATTTCAAGGCCATATGTCAATATAAAACTACCTAACTATTCAAATGGCTTTCACTTACATCATTATTTAACTTATATCATGCATTATTTTTTAGAAGATAATCTCACCTTTTTCATGAAACTTGTGTCTTGTCTACAGATTTTTTCTCTTTTGATCTTTAGGTCAGCTACATCAGGTATTATTCTAGAGATAATCAATATATAATTTTTAATAAACAGCACATTTAATTATAATATTATGGGTTATGTGGCAAATCAAGAGCTATACTTAGGAGTCTGAACTATGTAACACTCATTTCAATGAGCATGTTAAGTCAGTCTATTATGTAATCATATCACTGACTTAGGAAGTTAATTTTATAAAGTAATCTTGACTCCTAATGCCATTTCTAAGTTTAAAGCAAAATTAAAATTCATGTAACTAGTAACCACTAGTTGAGATCTTTGAAAAGACCTCTAAACATCTGCTATCTTAAACTATACTGATAATTAAATGCTCTTGATACCAATTAAATAAAACTCTGGATTAATAAAACCTGAAAATCCTAGATTTAAAAATATCACTTAAATACATGAATGTAGAAACTAAAAAACATCATCATTAAGCCTATTTCAAGATGGCGCACTACCTGATCCCTCGAAGCTTTGCCCTGTTGTCGTGGCGATCCATGAGGTTATGCATCACTTCCAAGACTAACTGTCTCAATTCATAGTCCTCCATGAGGGATGGTGACAGCAGAGGATCCAGAAAAGACCCAGGTAGCGCAGTAACAATCGTCTTCGCTTTGTACCCAGAGGTGACCTGATTACAGGGAGGAAGATCAAAGAAACAAACAAAGCACCTTTGTCATGAGTCCTTGTCTGGTAAAATTCTCGAAACTGTTTTATGAGAGCCATAGCCATAAACTAAGGGGAACGAGTATGGACATCAGCCTGAATAAAAAAATAAAAGTTTTGTAAGGTGATGAGGATTTTACTGAATTTACGAAAACATCATTCGTAAAGAGAGTAACCGTAATGACAGCCCCCATTTCCCACATGCCAGGCAGGGTCTAAGCACCACGTGCATCAGCTGCATCCTCCCCACATCACTGTGAGGTGGGCATGCGTGCATTCCCACTTTATACGAGAAAACGGAGGGTCAGAGAGGTTAAGAACATATGGGATAGGTAATCAGTACTACATGAATGTAAGATTAGCTAGCAAATGGTTCAAGTAAGAGCTGAAAATGTTTAAATTATTCTTTTAAATTAAGCAGTTTAGGTTAATAGGAACACATTTTCAGTTTGGAAAAGCGGTACTTTATTACATACTTGATTTGACATTCCTGAGTGAACCTCTATATTTTAAATTTTAAGCTTTTCATATCTTCAGCGTATCTTAAATGCTGTTAAACATTTTAACCATACCACACAGACCTTCCTTCAGCTGACTATGTGGTACAATTAGGATTAGGTCAAGATGATCTACTAGGGAATTTATTTAACGAAAAATAGGACCAGATAAAATTTGAGGTGGCAATTTAAATGTACATTTATATTTGCAAACATATTTGGAACATGTATTATAGGATGGAGGTGACCTTATAAGCAAGCAAAGATATTGGTGGGACAACTGCTACCCCCCTAAAAATTAAAAATATATCCATGTCCCACACAACATACAAAAATAATCTTCAGATCAAAGTTTTAGATCAGGGGTCCTCAAACTACAGCCCGCGGGCCACATGCAAATGCAAATATTGTATTTGTTCCGTTTTGTTTCTTTACTTCAAAATAAGATATGTGCAGTGTGCATAGGAATTTGTTCATAGTTTTTTTTTAAACTATAGTCCAGCCCTCCAACGGTCTGAGGGACAGTGAACTGGCCCCCTGTTTAAAAAGTTTGAGGACCCCTGTTTTAGATGTAGAGAGCCAAATTTTAGAAATTTTTGTAAGAAAATATAAACAAATGTGCTTATGTCATCAGAAGAGGCAAGGAGTGAAGACACAAATAAAAAAGAACAAAACACAGGAATGAACTGATAAAGTTGGCTATATTAGAATTTAAAATTTCTTTATGACAAGTACCATAAACAGGATTAACATGAAACATAAGATGTTTCTGTACTTCTCCCTAGGTATTAAATATTCCTTTTAAAAGATGAAATCATGGAGAAAAGATGTTCAGATTAAATTGTGAGAGCACCGACAGGGAAAGGACACATTCCCAACAGTAAGCACCGACCAGCATTATGTGAAGTGTCGCTGAGTCAAAAATGAACATAACTACTATGAAATAAGCACAGGGCCTTCCATGTTAGATATGCTTTTCCTTTTCAGCTACTTATAGCTGAATTATTTCCCAAAGAAGAAGCCACTATTGGGTCAGTGTGTGAAAGAATAGCATGATCCATAGACAAACACTGGATTTCAAGCCCAAGCTCTATTCTTTAGCTCCGTGACGTGGTGAACCTCCTCCAGGGCAAGTCCCTGAGCCCAGGCATCTCCATCTATTACAGGGCAATACTTCCTGTCCTCTGTATGTTTCATCATCATGAATGTCAAATAAGACGACAGGAGAAGTAAGGAATAAATAGTAAAAGCATAATAAAATACAAGAAAATGAAAGCTAATATTTACTTACACAAACCACAGAGAAAACGAACCATAACTAGGACCTGACTATGTAAGAAAAGAGGCTCCCAATGGGAAACTGCTTTCACCTCCTCAGTCATGTGAGGAGGAGGGCTCTCACCTGTCGCAATGTCTTACCATAAGCAAGGATCTCAGCAACATGATCTGAATCCGCCTGGTTCCCAAGTCCCTAAAAGATACAGCAAACTAGCATTATCTCATTAATAGTAATTAACATTCACATTACTTCATCTACTTATTATTCACTAATTTTAAAACTCTACTCATATTGGCTAAATAGATTTTAATAATAGCTAAGTCATGGCTCCCTTTATACTCTAAGTTTAATATGAATTAAAGAGCTATATGTAAAAAAATAAAATTCAAACAAAAATATTAAAGTTATTGGCTCTCAAAGGAAACAGACCTATGCATGTAATGACATGAAAATTAAATCATATGAATATATAACAAAACAACACAAAAAGATACTATACGTTGGGAAATATATTTACTGTAAATATAATTAATTGACTAATATATTTAAGAGGTAAAACCAGATGATTCAAAAAACAATTAACCAGTGGAAAATGGGTTATCTAATTAACAAAGAAATATAAATCAAATAAGACTATTATTTCCTTACTAAAGTAGCAAAAAACACAAAAATATTCACAAACTAAAGCTTTAGCATGTTTTAAAATCAAATCTATAAAATGAGGTGACCAAGACATACGATCTTTAAAATCACTTTCAGTTTTAGAATTGTAGGAATAAGTCAACATTCCTGCTATACTGATTTTAATTATTAAATTTTTACAGAAAACTTGAAGCTTTACCCTAAATATCCATGTATACAGACAATATCCAGGCTAAATAAACCTTCCACCTGGTCCATAAAAGACACAGAAAATTAGAGAATTTATGATATGCCGAAAACTGATTCTAAGAGCACACAATGCTGATTCAATTGCTTAGCAATCTAGCACCATAAACATACTACTTTCCACAGAACTTTTAGTACTAATGATTAAAGAAACAATACAACACTTTCTAGATTTCTTTAAAATGAAATTAAACCAAGATTAAGTTGAAATTTATAGTTGGAAAACCACATATGCATACCCTAGTTGACTGACGTCCAAAGTATGAGTGGATGTTCCAAAAACTGGTACCTTCCCCATAATGAACATCATGATTTCTGACCTCTGATAATCTGGCAGGTTACTTCCAAAGAATCCTATAAAAATATTAAGATAAATTTTACAAATTGAAATTTTCCATATAGTAAAAAAATATTTTAAACCAAATCTTTCAATATGTGGTAGACAATGTCTTTAAACACTAATGATATTAAAATTTCATTTAATGAAAATCATTTAATCATAGATAATATAAGATTTATATTATGGACTAATAAGTCTTTTGCATATAGTGACAGTGGCAAATCATCAATTTGAGTTGGAGTTTTAGAAAAAGGAAAAAACATCTTTTGTTAGTATTTCTAATAAACTCTTGTTCATATGCTGTGAGCCTACTTTCTTATTCTAGTAAGGAAGTCAATAATGAGGACACACTTAGGTAAAGAGGTCAATAATTAGGTCACTACCTTGGTTTCCTGGGATTGTTAAATGTTTTAGAATGTCACAATGGGCCAAGATACAGTTTAACTCTGTGAGTTAATTCGAAACACATAATTCAGCTGATGTTAAAAAACAGTAACTTGTTTGTCATTTTTCTCATGAACTCTTGGGTTTTGTGGATATTTTAAGCTTACCTGCTCTAGGTTTTGAAGGTTTACTTCCTGGTCATAAAATATTTACAAGATTTAATTAACACTTACTCAAACTTCAAACTTTTTGTTTCTTTGAAAGATCAGAACAGATATCAAATCATGGCTATTTTTGTTCAGATCTTAAAATGTACAAGAAAATCATTACAGAGACCTTCTGACTTGTCATCAGCCCCTATTATCTATAAATATAAAACCCTAATATGCAAATAGACCGAACAGGGGAACAATCAAACAACCAGTCGCTATGATGTGTGCTGACCCACCAGGGGGTGCGCACGGAACATGAAGGGTGTTGGCAGCAGGCGGCAGAGCGCGGAACATGGCAGGCATCGGACATGGCGGGATGGTGGGACAGGTAAGCGGGGACACCAGACCAAGGTGGGGTGCTGGTTGCTGTCATTGGGGCGAGCCTCTGGTGGTTACTGAAAATTCTTTGCTCTCACGCACTGCAGTCCTGCTGGGTGTTTGCACCTACTGCTGGTGCCAGAGCCGCTGCTCACAAACGCTGGCCCCGATCGTTTGATACCCTCAGCGGTTGT